GCTGGAATAATTGACAGAATTAAAATAATATCACATAAAATAACACAATAAAAACAAGAACAAAACTCATAATATTATTTATAGCTACATGAATCCATTATAACACGGTTCTTAAACTTTAGATCGCCGCGGTCCCCCTTCATATAACAGCTTGATATAGAGGACCTCCAAAAGTTTGAACACCCCTTCCTGACTGACTCGCAACACATGACTGAAGAATTTAAATATTCCTCTGTAGGTTCCTAAAAGGTCTTCAAACTGTGTTCCACAAGGCATATCCAGGGGTTCTACGAGCCACAATAAAAAAAATCAAAAAGAAACTTAGGAAGTTTGTATAGTTACAAGTATCTAAAGCTTATCTTATTTATTAAAACGGAACATTTTATTTATATATAATAACTTTATTTTGCAACACTTTTCATACTTTTATTATAATATACTAAAAGAATATTTTAAAACGTTTTTATCTTTATATATATGACGTGTTTTAAATCAGAATCAGACTTATAGTTTTAAAAAAGGATCTTTATTTGATGAAATTTACACAAGCTCTGACGCTGAGAGGCAGAGAGAAAAAAGAACGCCTAAGTGAAATCTAAATGTTTTACCACTTAAGCCAGATGTGATAAGTACCTCTGATTTTATGAGTGCACTTGAAAATTAATGCTGACACATAGGGCTATTAAATCTAACGATCTGTAATTAAACGTGTTTATTGGCTAGGCCATATGTTCGGAAGAAGTAAATGGGTGATTAGTTTGATACTTGAAGATGAAATGAAAAAGATGAGTTAAGAGCTAGATAGGGAATTTAATTTTTAATCTAATTTAATTATCCTTACATATATATACACTTTCTACTACATTGTGAATATTCTATTGTTTACTCTCTTGGAAACCATGACATAATTTTATACTCGTTAGTCAGCACAGTGTCTTGCAAAATAAATGGTTTTCTAATGGAAAATGCACTTTTTGCATTTGTGGAAAAAACACCTGTAATAAAGAAGAAACAATTTAGTAACATATCGACAGATTTGATGTTAAAATCTAAATTTAAACAAGAGCGGATCATAAATTTTATGTTGCAAATTCATGCAAAATACACAGTATTTCTCAGACAGCTATAAACATTTTAATGTCGTTCAGTGCATTGTGTTTAAATGAAATATATTTCTCTACGTTTGTGGCTACGAAAACAAAGTATAAAAACAAATTAAATTCGGAATATTTAATATGATTATATTTAATCTCAAAAGACATAGACTTCAATAGTTTGCGTGAAAAAAAGCTATCCCAGCTACTAAATGTAATGCATAGGTACGTGACACTTGGATCATTAATCAATATAATTAATGAGTAAATTATATTAAAAATCAGACTAGAGTTTTTTAATAATAAATTAAATATTTTTAATTGCTTTTACGTAACGTATCTATAACTTGATTTGCTTTAAATATTATTTTGAGATATATTCTTCTAAGTATGTGTGCCCGTTGAATGGGATTCCACGAAAACATTTTCTAGTTCTAGGGTTTCCATGAAAATTGTTAACTTCATCAAAATACAACGAATTGAATGGGCAGGTCACGTTGTCAACCAGTACTAAAGTGGCTCTAAAAAAAGTCTTCAATGCCCAACTAATTAGCACACGAAAAAGGTCAGGCCTAATCTTAGATAGATTGATGGCATAGAAAAAGATCTCCTAGTTTTGAGAACTAAGATTTGGAGAACAACAAGAAGAAGGCTGTCCTGGAAAAGCCTTCTTGAGAAGACCAAGGCCCTCCCTGGGCTGTCGAGCCACTGAGGAAGGAAGGAAGGAAGAGGTTTCACGAAAACACCTTCAAGTTCTAGGAGTTCCATGAGTTGAAAATTTTTCAAGACCTCTGCTCTATAGTCCTAAGACTGCCTCTGCTACTTATACAGACTTTTTTAACTCTTCTTTTCTTTCCCCTTTAAGAAAACAGTAAACATCTAATTATATATGCGTATACAAAAATTACAAAATTCTTACTAAATAAATAATTTAAGCGCTAACAAACAAATAATACAGGTGCAATTCGATTAGGAAATCAAGAAGGATGCAATCATTATCGTATTGTCATGCTATGTGAATTAAGTTCTCAATCTTTGCACATGTGCTTTTATATATTATGTAATATAATTTTAAAAATATTATTTATTTCTAATTGGGGCTGTGGATTGGTGTCTTACCATCGCAGACCTAGTACATTCCCCGAGAGCTAATACCTCTCTTTTAGTGGGGCACCATATAGACGGATACCAATCACCGCAAGTAATTTTGATGGTCAGTTTCCTCCACAGAGGGAGCCATCTCAGCTCTGACGATGCGAAACCGTACGAAGAAATTTAATATTGCCGAGAGCACCCAAACCAAACAGGCATTCAATGGATCTCTTACATGCCACATAATCGTGCGACATGGCCGCTGTCGATTTTCTGCATCATGAAAATCCACCGACTTGGGCTGGGGTCGAATCCGCAACCATAGGTGTACAAGGTCAGCGACAAACCAACTACGCCACCCAGTCCGTATTTAAATTTCTACATAAAGCTTGTTCATAAATTGGTAACACATGGTTTCTTTCTTCGAAAATATTACGTTTTAGTAATGGTTATGTAGTTGCAAATAACAAAAAAAAAGACTGTATTAATATTCTTGATCGAAATACATGTTCTAGTAAATATTTTTTGAGAGGACAATTTAGTGATCTAGTCTAGGATGACACATCTTTCAATTTTTCCACGAGGTTTTTATCTGTAAAAGGGGGAAATCTGAACAGAGGGAACATTAGATGAGAGACCTTTGTGGACCCCCAGGGGTCCACGGACCTCAATTTAAGAACCTCTGAATTATAATATTGGAATGTTTTTATCTCTGAAAATGCGTTCTGAATTACGGCGAATTCCGAAAAATTCATATTAGACTCAGCAAAGCTATTTACTCTGCCTAATCTGACAGAAAGGCGACGCATTTAATATCAACTTTTAAAAACCTCATTTGAATTTTGTTGATTTTTAGCACATAAAATGATGCCAATCGATCTTTTCCATCACAATTATTCCGAAGGAGAAAAAAACAATCACTGTCAGATACCTGATTCGAAGTTAGAACCCTGCAGAGAGAGAACTTCCCTAAATCAGTATCTTTGATGATATATTTGAAACAAACGATACGAATGATATATGTTACACAGAGTTGATAAAGAGGAGGGATGGGCAATGAAAGTATGATAGCCTCCTCCCCTCTTCCCCATCCAACAGATAGCATTCGTGTGGATCCAGTGGTGATGAGTTACAACGGTATAATCTTTTCACGCGAGGGAAAATGTTTTCCGATTGGGAGGAGAGGTCATTTTTCTTATTTGGTCAGACACTGATGATAAATTTGTACGCAGTATTATTTTTTCTCCCGCTAGACAGCGTGACTGTGATGGGATTTATTTATATTTGGTTCATGTGATTATGTAAGTTTCTTCTAAAAGTACATTTTCCACGATAAGGTATTATCAATGGAAAAATTAACACAAGCAATATTAAAAAAATTTAAGTCAATTCCTACTTATGTCAACAAAGAAAAATTTTATTTTTTGCACTTCTTATTAAGAGGACTTGGTACCCTAAAAATCACAAAAATATCGTGTGTTTTTTTATTTTCATTTAATCTTATTCTTTGCATTAATATCTTTCGATTGATATATCACTTGTGCATGTCGGAAAGTTAGAAGTTGAATAAAACTTCATTTGAAAACAAATTAGGCAATTCAGCCACACCCCTTTTTAGAAAAAAAAAAAAGCTAAAAATGCGTTATGATAAAAAAATCTATTTTATAAATAGAAATAATAACTATAAAAAGAATGTGTAGTATTAAAAGCAGAATAATTCCGAGGCAATACAATAATGTAATTTTTCTTCCTTGTGAAATGTGTGCATGTCAAATTTTTAAATTAAGGCATTTTATATATTAATAATTTTTTATAATTTCAGTTCTTATTCCTGATATATTTTTCATACAAATGTAATACTTTAATGTTATAAGAAGAAAAACAGCTAAAATTTCTGTCGTGACAGAAAAAAAATTTTTTTTAAGTTTTTCTTGAGTTTTCTTGTGCAATTAGTACTCTCTAAAAGTTGATCATTTATAAAAATGTATGGGTTGAAAACGTATGAAAAAGCAATTATTTTAAAGAAAAACGTATAAGTAATATCTTAAAGTGGTATTTTAAGTTTAATTAAGCTTATAATAATTATTTTTTCAAAATTATAAATTTTAAAGTGGTTTTTCTCAGTTTGTGTTTTTCGAAAACTTAGTGCATTCAAAATGCTACTCCTTCGACAATTATTTACCAATCACTTCAATTTTTCTCCTGCGTGTTAAAAATAAAGCATGTAATAAAATTAGGGATCCGTTTTGCTATAAACTGAATCCTTTTTTTAAAAAAAATAAAATGTAAGACATGTTGGCTTTTTCGTTGATTTTTAGCCTGTATATCAACATTTTATTTTTTCTCGAAAACGAATGAAGTTATTCTATATAAAATCGATCCCTAAAGTTGTTTAGATCATCCATAAGAGTATTATGAAAGAAATTTCAGGTCAAAAAATTAATTTTTACAAAAGGAGTAGGATTTTAAAATTTTCCCAATTTTCTTCAAAAAATTTAAATTTTTAAAATTGTGTGAATAATATATGAAAATTTTCATCTGGTAACATTTTCTTGAATAGAAACATTGTATAAAATGCTAAAATATAATTTTTAAATACGTAAATAAAGAAGTTTGCTCAAAGGGTGCCAAGTCCCCTTAAATAGTTACAATTAATATAAACATGTATATACATATGACTGAATTACAATATTCAGTGCCGAAATAAAAAGAGATTTTCCTTGTGATTTTCCATTTTATATAGGGTGTTGTGGACTATTATTTTCCTTTTGTTACTACTTATTCATTCATAGATCACATTCTCAGAAACTAGGCCATCCCAGATAGGATCAAAACCCACGACCTTTAAAATAGAAGTCCAAAGCGCTATCCATTGCGCTACAGGGAC